TATTTCTCTTTCATCCTTGTATTATGGGTTTGTTCTTTCCCTTGTGTTTTATCCTATTAATCATCAACCCAACCCATTTATCTACAAAACTAGATAACACTCCAAAAATAAAATCACAACCAACACTTAATTAAATCAATAAAATTATGTCTTACCCAATTTAATTAGCCAATAATTAATATCAGAATAAGACAATTCCATGTCAATAATTTGCTTGTGTCTCTTATTGATTATTGTACACACTCGCATTTGTTAACACACACGCGCACTATGTATTTGATATTTTGATTGATTATTCATTTATCCATAGTTGTGAAATTTGAGTTTTGAGATTTTTGAGCCGTGAGATTGATTTGAAGAAATTAATTGAATATTAATTAAAATCAATTGGCTTGGTTAAAATGGTTAGTGGTGTATAGGAAGGGTTCTCATCGTTGAATTCCGCTATCAATTGAGAAGAACTAATTTTCGTAGACTTAGATTTTTAATTTGTAATTAATTTTGGCTAAAATTGAAAAACCTATTCACCATCTCCAGGTATAGTGTCTTCAGCTCACGTATGAAATTATTAGGGAAGATCCATATCAGGTTCCCCTTCCCGGATCAACAATGCACATTAGAAGCTCCTTCTTTGTTGTTGGACCTTTAAAGTACAACTCCATGACACCACAGTTAAAAACCAGACTTTGATGTTTTTCAACTATTTTGGAATTATTTATTCTTCCACTTATTTTATCTCATAATGGGCGATAATGTTGAAGTTCTTAAAGAAGACTATACCCTATACCTTTTGTAAAAATCAAAGTTAGCATAGATGAATGTTGATTGCTAATGGGAAAAGGGTTGCCTTAAGATGCACCAAGTGTGAATCATGTTAATATTGGCGAATTCAATTTCTACCTCTATACTTCTTTGCACTGTTGGTCTAGGCCACCTATAAGACCTATATGGTTAACATGATATAGATATGTCATAAAAGATAGGCGAATTTGCTCCAATTTTAAGGAAGACTTGGTGATGAGATTAAGAAGTGCCCCATAGTGTGCAACTATTCAAGTCCTGACAGTTTTAAAATAAGGCTATAATGACTTATGTGGTTGTTGTTGGCCAACCATCAGGGACGAACCCATCATGGGGGGGGGGGGTTAAATTTCATGCTTAGAAATTGATACTAACAATGTAAACCATATTTATACTTTGATTTTCAAAATTTTAAAGTATAAAAATATGCCAAGAAATCAATGTGTATTCAATACAAACAAAGATACGACAAAAACGATAAAATGAATGAAAAGAATAGCTTAGTATTAAATAGAAGAATTTGATGAAGTTCGATAATTATGAGTAATAGAAAAAACATTCTAGAAATTCTTTTAAAAAGAATGACAAATACCTATTTCACTAAATTTTACATAAAATTAAGCGTATCAAAATTTATATACTCCCAATTAGACATATGTTTTTTTTATTACTCCCAATTAGACATAAACCTAGTTGAATTTTCCATAAAAAAATAATCACAACATATATTTAATGTTCCTAACTAGCAACAAACATTTATCATTATTTATTCAAAAATAATGAACAAAGAAATAGATAACACACTTTTCCAACATTTAAAATTTTATGTATATTATTCTATATTAAAAGTATAAACCACTAACCTGTTAATCGATCAATGAGAAAAAAATTGTCTTCTTTTTCTCAGCACTTTTGTTCGGCAATTGCACCGCTAATGGGTGACATTTCTAAACTCTTTTCATATTTATAGTTCTTGCCTTATTGGTGTACAAAGTTTTTTTTTTTTTGGTGTTTTAGTAGCTTTTGTTTTCTAACTAAGTTAGGACTCTTAAGTTGCTTTATTGGGATTTAGATATATTAAGAAAGTTAATATTTTTTGATCTTGATGACCAAGATTTAGGTTATAATTGTTGTTAATTGGTTGATTAGAATTCTAACCTAATTAAAATAACATTGTTCCACAAGTTTTTATAGAAATAGTCATTGTGTGAAACTAAAAGACTTAAAAGGGATGTCCATGTAAGTTGGTTTGGGAAGGCCAACACACCATATCATTAGACTTCATTCTCCAGCTATTATTTTACACTAAAGGTTATGAGATGTATGGAGGGGGTCATGGTCTCCCTAAGCCCTGCTATAGTCCCATCTCTACCAGCCACCACCACCTTGTTGAAGGATTGATTTGGTTCTATCTCCACCAGGAAGGTACTAGGGACTTGGGAGATCCACTACGACATACAAAATTTCATATTGTTTTCATCATAGTAAGCAATGAGCTTGTGGAGAAAAAAGTGTGTACATTTGACTCAAGCATTACCTGGCTTTTATAATGTTGTGTGGCAATGTCTTTGCCATGATTTCAACTTTTAGCCATATTAGGTGGCACACCTAATTCTCAGTTGACTTTATTTTAGGTGTTAGGATTTTTCCTAAACTTCTTATTTGTCTATTTGCTAGAGCTTGCTAATAATCTTCAGCTAAGATTTAGGTAATTAGTTTAACTTTACCACTGATTTTTTGGAATAGCCTAACTACGAAGAATCTATACATTAAAGACTTTTTACTTTACTCAACCTTAATTTTCGGTTAAGTTGGCAGATCGATCTATTCAGCCGAGCTCTAGTCATTTGCTCGGCTGGTGGTGATCGATCCAGTCATTCCCCACATGCCCTTTGCACGTGTGTTTTAAGACACGTGGCCTCATTAATTATATTGGTTGTGCGTAGTCGTTTTATGCTCTGGCAGGTTCTAGGACATTTTTGCCCAAATTTGATCGATCTTCATTCTTGCGCACTACTTCTCCTCTCGTTTGTGCGCCATACACTCCGACTTCAACGAAGTGATGACTGGTCAGTCATTTCTCTCTCTTTGTGATTATTACATCACTTCATCAATCAAAGTACTCAAGGCATATTTGGATTGAATCTAAAAAAAAAGTATCCAAAAATAGTTTTTAAAAATTTTTAGATTGCAAAACCTGTTTGGTTATATGTTTTTGAAAATAATTTTAAAGAACAAAAAATTATAAAATCTATTTGAAAAATGATCCACAAAACCCCCAATTCTCATCTCTCTCTTTCTTTCCCCCCCTCTCTCTATCCACAAAACACAGACGCGCAGACGCGCACACACACAAACACATACGTACAGACATAGACATAGACACAGACACAGACACAGATGCACATAGATCTGAAGCTGGATTCAATAGTTGCGAGAGAGAGAGAGAAAAGAAGTTATAGTCATCATTTTGTCTCCAACGAAGCTTGAAGGAGAGACCTCATTAATTTGGAGATGAGGTTGTTTCTTGTGTTCTCATTTTGCCTTAGAAAACAGTTAGAATACCATTTTGTTGTTCTCTAAAATCACACTTCAATTAATAGAATTTTCAACAAAAAACTAACTAAACTGCATCTCCCTTGTTTTTAGAGTTTTGAGAAGAAAAAATGTTTTGTAAACACAAACCAAATAGACCCTTAGATCTCAGATCTTCAACTCACACAACAAATTTTCATCTTTTTTATTCTGCAGTTGATAATCTGAGGCACCTCAGGTATTTTGTGTCGCTTTCTATCTCTCTCTCCTATCTACTATTATTTTATATGTAGTTTATTTTGGTACATTCCAAATTTAGTTGATTTGTATTTCTATAAATTTTGGTTTGTTTAGTATGTTTTATGTTAACATTGATTTTGATTTTTTTTTGGGGGCCCTTTCTATCTCTTCTATTTGTATTTGTATTTGTACTAGTTGGTGCACATCTAACTATTTTAACTTTTTTTTTTAAAAAAAAGGTAAATTTGACAAATTTTCTTTATATGAAGATAATTATATATTACATGATGATTATTGAATTTTATGGGGCTCACTTGTCTACTTGTTCCCTTGTTAGTGGACGGTTATATAAAGTGACACTGTTGGCGTGAGGTAACTGTTATATTAATGATTTTTCTCGTATTTTGGGTAATATGAACTGAATTGCATAAGGTTAAAAAAAAATTAAATTGTATTGTATTTAAAAACTGTAATGTTTAACTTTAGTAAATAATTAATAGTTGGATGATTACTAATTTCTTGAACCAATAAGAAGTTATTGCAACAAGTTATAATTGTCTTTTTATCTTTTTAAAGATAGTATTATCAATTTAATTTTTTTTGACAAATATTGACATTCAAAAATAGTTTATAGATTATTAGATCTACTCAAATATTTAATTTTTAGTAAATTTGGGTATGTACTGCGTACTTACAAACATATGATATAATTTAGTGATTATTTAATAAAATTGAGAAAAAATTCATGTGCTAAATGTTAAAATTGTCTCTAATCAACATATTCAGATCAGAACTGATATCTATTTTAACAGATTCATATATTCACCATGAAAAATAAAATTTATTGGACAATTAAATTGGATTCGAATCAAATTGTTCGAATCAGATTTGGATCAAATTTATATTGTTCATAAGAAAGATAGTCAAAAGTTAAACAATTAATTTATTAGTTGAATTAATACAACTAATAAAAACAATAAAAAATTTCTCAAAAAAAAAAAAGTAGACATTGTAGAATTTTTAAGAATAAATAAGACAATCAAAAGTGTTTCTCTTAAGCCACTTATAGAATTTTTTGGGTTTTTGATTGATCTAATATGCATCAAGTAAGCTATTTTTATAATTATTATGATATTTTAGTATATTTATAATTATTTTTATTTTTTATTATATGATTGATTTGACCAATAACGCAGCGGTTCAATCAGTGACCAATTCATCTGGATCATTTTTTAAGCTGACTTTCGTACCGGGCTTTAAAACTTTGCCCCTTATCTTAATTAAGCCCTGAATAATTGTTTTTCAGTCGAATAATTTTATTGAAGTAGCCCATTGAGAAATCCAAGCCCATTGGAAGCTCTACGATCGTCTTCCGTCTCTGTGCTCGCTCTGAGAAGTTCGAGAGAGAGAGAGAGAGAGAGAGAATGGCTCAAATTCCCAACTTAGACAACGCTCCTCTGAATCTCACGTCCCTAAGGTATATCAATATCAATAGCCATAATCACACTGTATAATTTTATATATTTACAATTTCCTGCATAGGTTAATTTATTTATTGTGAATTCAGAGATCAGTCTCAGAAGGAGCTCATAACCATCCTGAAAAATGTGAGTTCAATTTGTATTTGATAAGTTATTTTATGAACGAATTTACTAGTTTTTCATTATAAATATGTAATTCCTTCGAAGTTAATGCTATTGTACTTAATAGATTCGAGGAAAGAAGTGCTTGGTTATCGATCCAAAGCTCGGTGGCTCTCTCTCACTTATCATCCAGACGTCACTCCTCAAGGCACTTTCCTATATTGCTCCTGCTTCTTGTCCTATTTTACTATCATTTTCGTAATTTTTTTTTTTGGTCGTTGTTGGTGTGAATTACAAAAATAATGAAAGCTTTTCAGTTGAATTCATAGATTTATGGTTTGTTTGAATGAACGTTTTGGAAATATTTCTCTTTAAATACTACCAAGAAAATAGAAAATTCTATATAAAGGGCAATTTCCTCGCTAAGTGGATGAAAATCAGAAATGAAAACAATAGCAATAGATAAAGATTCTTGGAAACCAAGCAAAAGAAAGAAAATAGTTGGGGCTTCGTTAAATACTAACGGGTTCGTTGTATGTGCTGATTTTTGGGAGTTTGTTGATACTTAAAAACAGGAGCATGGGGTTGAATTGCGGCATCTTACTGCAGACCCTGTTCAGACTGAGTGCACCAAATTTGTTTATCTTGTTCGGGCTCAGCTCGATTTAATGAAGTTCATTTCCTTGCAAATTCATAATGATATTTCAAAAGGGGTTCAAAGAGAACATTTCCTTTATTTTGTGCCTCGTCGAGCAGTTGCATGTGAGAAGGTAAAATTTCTTATTCATTAACAACCTACAAATTGACACATATAAGGTATCATTCAATTGTTGGATTTTGTGTGGTCTTTATGGTTCTGCAGATACTTGAGGAGGAAAAAGTTCATCATTTGTTGACGATAGGGGAGTACCCATTATATGTTATTCCATTGGACGAGGATGTATTGTCATTTGAACTCGACCTTGCTTATAAAGTATGTTTTTTTGCTACTGCGTTGAGGACTTCACAAAATTATGCTTCTTTAAGGCAAAAGTATGTTAAAGTCGGTGGGTTGTGCCTGACAGGAATGTCTAGTTGATGGTGATACAACCTGTCTGTGGCATATAGCGAAAGCCATCCACAAGCTTGAGGTTGATTAGATTTGTTTTCTCTTGTGCATTAGTTTACCTTTTTATAAATAGTGGATCATTATAAAATATTTTATCAGTATGCATCGTAGTTTATTGTAATGTGAGAATTGTGTCTGTTGTTCTAAAAAGTATTAATTGTCTGACATATTGTAGTTCTCTTTTGGAGTCATACCAAATTTGAGAGCCAAAGGGAAAGCTGCAGTACGGGTTGCTGATATTTTGAATCGCATGCAGGCTGAAGAACCTGTTAACTCATCTGATGTAATCATGCATCACTTAAAGCCTTTTGGAATTATATTTGAGTAAAAAATTGTCAATTTCTGGCAATTAGTTTACTTTGAGAATTATATAATAATAACTTCTTTTTTTTCTGCAGATGGGCGTGCCAGAGATAAGTACTCTCATCCTTCTTGACAGAGAGGTATCACTTCTTTCTCGTCTTTGCATTTTCATATGATAAATTAGTCTATCCTTTTGTTCACAACCATGTTATGCAAATTGCATTTTTCTTCTTGTTAGTACATGGTTGTCTTTGTTTGGCAAAAAAATTGGTCTGACTTTTGTTTCAGTAGAATGGGTAACAAACAAGTGGCTGCCGTGACCAAAATACTATCTTTATTCTTTAACCATGGGGGAATATTGTAACGAAAATGGAGGTGGAGGTGGAAAAGATTGCTGATTATAGCTGACAATGGTGCCCGGGTTTCATGCTAAGGATGTTTTGTGAAGTTTGGCTGTATTTTACTAGTTTTATTGTGGTTGGAACTGGGAAATAAGATGCCTAGATATCTTTGTAAGGTCTATGTTTGTCCTTGCATTAGATGTCCCACTATTGTCCCTCCACTCCCTCTCTGTTGCCTGGTCAAATTGATCTCACCTATTCAGAAAACAAAAAGTTGCATTAACTGCAATCCAATAGCAAATTGATCATATAAATAGTTACCTTTCTCTTTTTTGCTCTCCACTTACCTTTGAGGTGCATGGAAGTGCTTTTGCACCCCCTTTCTGTTTTCTCTTTTTTCTCTTGTGACCTGTGTTTTAGCTGCTTGTAAGGCCAGGTTGTGCTACCTTTTGTATCTTCTTCCTCCCACCTCTTCCCCCACCCCACCAAAAAAGGTATGGTTAACAAAGCAATCTATTTATTTTGCCCGTCACACTTCAACAACATGTGCAAGCCAAGTTATGGCAGGGACTTTTTTTCTTTCACTCTCTCAATTATGCGACCATTAAATTTTCAGATCTCTTGAACCACCTAGTATGCAGCTTGCAAATTGTACCCCTTAACTAATCATGTGACACTGCAAGCAATCCCAGCATTTTCTTCTAAATTGGATTGTATTAATATTTTTTATTGACTATGTAACACTTCCACATTATGTTGCGCATGACATAATTTTTCTGGAGATACTTGCATTGTTAACTGCTAATGTATCGTTGCAGGACTAACTGTAAAATTTATAAGGGTTTTGGCTTAAAACTTGTTTGTAACTCGCTGCAGGTGGACATGGTCACTCCTATGTGTTCTCAATTGACATATGAGGGGCTGCTGGATGAGGTAAAAGAAAGATGACTATGAATTAGAAATATCCAAGATCTGATTTATAAATCAGGGACAAAACTTGTGGTCAGTAATATTTATATTCTTGGTGCGGTTGGTAGATTTTAAATGGTCATAGGCTCATAGCATGTATGGTTCTATCTGTGTTTGTAGGTTGGATTACCCCGATTAGGTCCTTAATTCAGCTATGATATTTCAATTTTTGTTTTTTCCTTTTTTACTTTTTTTTTTCCTGCCACAGTTTAAAAAATATTTGGATTTATTTTACAACAACTGAGTTTGTTAACATTTGGCAATTTCAGCCTTAGTTTTCTTGAAACTATGTCACTGAAGTATTATTTGCTGTACTTCCCTGTCCAAGAGTAATATGCCACGCATGTGAGATGATAAGCTGATGATGGATTCTTTTGTTTTAGTTTGCATTTCGTAATTAGCTATCTCTAATAGGATTTGTACAGTTTCTTCATGTCAATAATGGTGCTGTGGAGGTAGATACGTCTATCATGGGTGTCCAGCAAGAGGGAAAAAAGATAAAGGTTCCCCTTAATTCAAGGTAAATTATGTCTCTTCTATTCCTATTTACCTATGTTAGTTAAGGATTGTGTGGCATTCTACCTCAGCATAGTAGTGGGCCACAGCAGAAAGCTCTATGCCTAAGCCTCGTTAGACTAAGCTGAAATGTAAGGTGCAAGTAAAGAAATAGGAGAGATGAAGCCCTTCAGTGGAGTTCTAGTTTCGAAAAGAACGAAGTTAGGACCAAGAGCAATGAAAACTGTGTCTGTAGGATATGCTGAAAGCCAGAACTTATAAACTTCTAGATTTGGAATCTAATATCATAATGGAATGTTGATTTGATTGAAGATATTGAATAGTGATATCAATCCTACTCAAACACCAAAGGTTGGCTCGAGTTCTAAGAAATTTCATAACATGAACTGTTCTCGACCAAGACCTTACTTTTCATTTTTCTTTTCTTCTGAGGCTTTTGTTGATCCTTTAGTCTGTAGGGAGCTAGCTTTGTCCTATATTTCTTCTATAACCTTTTCCACTGTGACATCTTAATTTATTTGAGAGATTTGGTCTAGTCAAAGGCCCTTAATGTATATCTACATTTAGTAGTTTTTATTTAATTTTTTTGTTTTTGGATTTTTGGGTCAAAGGTGACCAATAAATTTGAAGGTGGCCCTCCAACACCCATAACCCCTCGTCCATGATGAAGGTGTGGTATGATCATGTGTCTGTGGTAAGACTACCACTAGACTTTTTCTACATAGGCCAGCTGGCTCCGTCAACATTGCCGGTCTGGATAGATTCTTTCTATAAAAACTTTTCTGGAGGCTTTCACTTTTCTTATGGATATTATGCACATGTATTTTATGTCTCCTTGTGTTCTGATCCATTGATTTATTGTTGCATTGTCCTTCTTTTAGTGACAAACTGTTCAAGGAGATACGGGATCTCAACTTTGAAGTCGTTGTCCAGGTTGACCTATTATTACAAGAATCTCCGTTGATATAAAATGATAGTTCATTCCTTTTCATAGCTTTTTAGTTAGTGATTGCTTCTGGATTTAGTTTAATTTTTCTCTAGAGTTCCCTTTCTTTAGTTTCCATTTGCAGTATTATTGCAGGTTCTACGTCAAAAAGCAACATCCATGAAGCAGGACTACACAGAGATGACAACTACAGTAAGTCAATTGATCAACAAATGACAGCTTGCCATTCTTGGTCTTCCATACAATGATGATGGGGAGTCTCCAATATCTGAAAACTGTAAAAAAACTGATCTTTGTTGAAATCTGCTTTTTCCTCTTTTTTGCCTGGTATAAAAGGCAACTGGCTCAATTGTTTAGACAATCACAAGTTATACATACTAAGAAAGTTACACATACATTGTCTCATCACAGTTTAAAGAATGCTCACATACTGCACCCAGTAGTTCTTCAATGCTACTGCCCATTTGTATGTTTCACATGATGCCCAATCAACTTTTTGTGTTGCTGTTTTGATCATTATTACTGTAGGCCTTGTTTCTTAATTAAATGGATATGTGATAAAAGTTTTTAATGGGTGCCATGAATGCATGCAGACTCAGTCAGTTTCTGAATTGAAGGATTTTGTCAAAAAGCTCAACTCATTGCCAGAAATCACTGTAAGTGTCATCTTTGAAATGTTTATCTAGTGTTATCCAACTGAGATTCTAATTTTCTTTTTTGTTGCTCTAGAGGCACATAAATCTTGCTCAGCATTTGTCCACGTTTACATCAAAACCTTCTTTTCTTGGACGACTTGATATGGAACATACGGTGGTGGAGGCTCAAAGCTATGATATGTAAGCAAATATGGAACTTATTAATATAACAGAACTTCATAATATTTTATACTTCTCGAAATGTAAAGGACACCCTTAGATCAAGTGACTTCATAGATCTTTCTGTATCCTTTGGTTGATTGAGATATACAGAAGCATTACCTGACTTGGAATGAATAGATTCTGCTGTCGGCCATCTAATTCAAAACTTACTGATACCATCTTTGGTCTCACCGGGCCGAATTCTGTTCTTTAAGTTCTAATTCTTCTCCTGGTAGTGTGACTAATTCAATTTAAAATGTTCTTCCTTTCCCTTCTTTTTTGTGGATTAAATTCAAGCTTTCCTGTCTATATCTAGTAGTGTAGATGGAGTATCTAAGATTTTTCTCTTTCTACTTTCTACTTTCTCCTCAGCTCCCTCCAGTTTTGTGATTGCTAAAAAGGAATGATGTGATATCCTTTTGTCTTATGTTGTTAAAGTTGTAGCTCAATTTCATAACATTGAAAAATAAGGGCATGTACTTTTTCACCTATGAATAGATTGTTAAGGTTTAAATCTATCCCTAGATAGTTGAGTTGAACACATTGTTTGAATTGAGTGTTTGGATATTCTTTTGATGAATTTGAATCTCATTCCCCACTATTAAATAAAATAATTGGCCTCTAACAGTGTTGTAGCATTGTGGCTGGGGTAATTGAAATTCATGTTTTTTGTTTTTAAATTTTTCCTTCCAATTTCCCTCCATTTGTCTAAGTGCATATTTCAGGGGAAGTGTTGACTTTTTTAAGACTACATAGTTGATTTCATTCTATAGAGAACGTGTAAGCCTTGCTGCTTGGAAACACCCTGACCACACTGAGAAACACGAAAGCGTGCAAGAAAGATAGAAACCATAGTTTGGTTTCATTTTACTCAAAAATTACATTTTTTTTTCCACATAAATATGTAAGTGACAAGGTTTAGTGAGCTTCTGTAAAGGGTGATCTATTGCTCGAGATTAAAAACATAGTGTAAACACTTCAGTTTTAGTTAAAACTATTATGGTTATGAATTGCCTCAGTAACGAATCGGTATTGGCGTATTTAATCTGTGACATTTCATGTTTACAATATAAGTATGGTGAGCCTATGTATTAGATCATGCAGCTGACACAGTTCATGAGTGCAGATGCTTCGAGTACATCGAAGAAATGATCCATAAGCAGGAGCCTCTCGTCAGTGTCCTACGTCTCCTCATATTATTTTCTACTACAAATTCGGGGTTACCAAAAAAGAATTTTGACTATTTGAGGCAAGTATAGTAAGATGAATTTTCTTTATTGCCTTGGTCCGACTACTTATATTTGCAAACTTCTTTGCTATTGCATTGTTTTGAAACTTTACTTTCTGAATTCTTCTATTTTTACGCTCTTCGTGTAGGAGAGAGCTGCTTCACAGCTATGGTTTTGAGCACATGGCTACGTTGAATAATTTAGAAAAAGCTGGGCTGTTCCGGAAACAGGTTCTGGACCTCTTGCCCTTTCTTTACTATAGTCAAGCAAGATAAGTTCAAGTTAACTGACTTGATGAATATCTCATACTTCACCTGTACCTTGCAGGAGTCCAAAAGCAACTGGTTGACGATAAAACGTAACCTGCAGCTTGTAAATGATGATACTGACACTGCCAAGTATTGCTCTCTTTGATCGTCATCAGTCTGATGATAATTATTTTTTTTTCTAAAGAATGTGAAATGTCATTTTTGGGGAGACTAGGTATCAGAGCTGTCATAATAGATCTCCCTGGGTTCACTATAATGGACTTATGATGATAATGGGAGTGTTTGACAATTAAATCCAGCTTTTTGGTTATATGATTTAAGGTCATCTTACTGTTGCACTCGACAAGCACAAGAAAGTTAAAGTAGAGAGACAAAAGGAAAATTGGAAGTTAAGTGAGAGAAAAGGAAAATTAGCCGACTTTGTAGTTGGACTGTTTGGGAACTTTCTTACTCTAGTTCTTGTTTGGTTGAGGCCTACTTATATCTGTCTTAGGTTTACCTGCTGATGGTATATGTCTATTTTCTGCTTTTAAAGGTTATAATGGACAATTTACATTGAATATTTTAGTGTATATTTGGTTTAGGTATTAAGGGGGTGGATTGGATTAATTTAATCCGGTAATAATATAATACTAAGTTTGGATGAGGTTATAGTGACCTAGTATTAATTTTAATTAATCCTGACCCAGTTTATTATTATCATTTAACACCTAATATTAGGTAGTAATGAATACCATGTAGTAGGTGGTATTATTTTTAACAACTTCAGTATTAAAAATGCAATGACTTTATTATCCTTGCAAACTTAGAGTCACACCTTCATATAAAAGTTACACGTTAAGCAAATTCTTACCGTCAATATTTATTTTGTCATTGTTAATTTAATACCATACACTATTACTTAATCCAAACATAAATTTGGTATTATAATTATAGATTTATATATTATTCCAACTTTGATCCAAACTTTTTATTCAAGAATAAGATTAAATAGTACTCTTGTTAACACCATTTTATGGATTGGATGAGAACTAGTTGCCTAATTCCCTTTATTTGAACCTGAACCAAACATGCCCTTAGTATTTAAGAAGTTGTTGACTATACAGTTAAGCAGTCACATGGGTTAAATTGGGTTCTTATTTTGGTGTTTGTGATACTTTTTCTGAAAAGTTGGGGGCTTTACAAACCAATGCTTTGAATTTTATAAAAGCAGTCAATAATTACCCAGAAATCTATACAGTTTTTTGTAATTCCCAAACAAGTTCCAGAGATATTTTTCTGCAATTATTTTCCAATCCTACTGACCAGAAAAGAATCAACAGTTTGGTTCTGGCTTGTGGTCTGCCCCTAGTGGTTGTGTTATTATGTATGATAGTTTTTTTTGTTTTTTTGTTTTTTTGGTGTTTTTCAAACAGTTATTATATAAGTATATTAGTGAAGCAAAATGCCTTTATATTCATTGCAAAATATAATTTTTTGTTAGAAATAGAATGCTGCTTGAACCCGTTTAGTGTTGGTTATTCAATTTACTGGTGTGATAGACTTTTGGTGTTCCTGTTGTCTCATGTCTGACTTTTGGATTGATTTTCTTATGTAACAGTCCCAATGATATCTCCTATGTTTTCTCTGGATATGCTCCTCTCAGCATTCGCATTGTTCAGCATGCAATTCGATCTGGATGGTAATGTGTTATATTTGTCCCTTTTCCCTTTAAAAATCTTTTATTTTTTCATTTTCAATTTTTTGTCACAGTAAGTTATTGTAAAATTGAAAGTAAGTAGCTGAAAAAGAGAAACCAGATGGGAAGAGGGAGAAAGGAGTTTTTTTTTTGTTTGGGGGGGAGGGGACACTCAGCATAATGGATACATTAGTAGTTTTTTCTTGTGGCCTAGATGTATTTTTATTTTGTTAGCTGTCATTATGCAAGAATTTGTTTTTCTATATGCCTGGGATGTTTCTCATGATATTTTCCAAACCAAGTAACCTTGAGTTGGGTATCAACTTGATGGAGGAATGAACACTATATACTTCTAATTGTTATAAAACCATCGAAATGATCTACCATGAAGAAAACTATTTAAAAGGATGAATGCAGGTGTGTAACTTTTACTATCATCTTGACCATTGAAAACCATGATTTCTAAGCTTAATGTAAGTAGAAGAATTTGTGAAATGCTGTTTGGAAATCCAAATAAAGAGATCATAAGTATATCTGAGATTTATTTCAAATTCCCTTATGGCTTCTTCCTTCAGTTTGTCTGAGCATACATGCCAAGTGCCACTCAGCTTATATCTCTAAACACCTAACCCAACATAATATAGTTGTGTTGGCTTTGCAGTTATTACACGTCACTAAACAGAACCATGTGCCAATAAGTCTCAAAGCCATTCACCGAATTAGAAATAGACTGGTATTTTTCAAACCATAAAACGGGAATCCAGTAGAATATCAGAACAAGGGCCATACAGTGGGAGTGCAACTTTAGGACCATAACAATGACAATACTCTTTGCAAAACCGGTAGATCTGAAGCTCTAGATGTCAAGAGAATTCCTCTAAACTTTCATCTAGATCAACATGGTTGCGCCATTTGATTCCAATAATATGCCCCAAGTCAAGGGTAGTATAGCGGTAATCTTATGATCATCTGGACCAAAAAAAAATATAGGTCTTGTAAGACTGTACAAGTTCCGGCATCCCAATATCTCAAAGTGACGAACATCTTAATCCATACAAGCATACAAGTCTTGGTACACACTTATGTGCTTAAAGAGCATGGGAGCTCAACTGTATAAAATTGTAGTTACTAAATTAAGAGGCTATATGCTAAAATAGGATGTCATCGGCTCCTGTGCAACATTGTTTTTAGCTTTGAAAACAGCAATTCATACAAGAATTGGCGAGATAGGAGCAGCCTTATGCTAGGTAGATAATCAACATAAAACTTGAAGTTACACTAAATGAAATTTGGAACCTTGTTTTGCCGAGTGTGCTTGAAAAATTTTGAGAAGTATTTCCTTTAGTGTCCTGGTCATATTGCCTAAGGCATTATGATGAACTTCAAAGGCACTGTTTCATCTCTTTGTTTGATCGTATTAGAAGTCTTCTGGCATGGCATTAATATGTCTTGGGGTAATCTATTTTAATGTTTACTGTTTATTATAGCTTCAATTGGATACATATTATGTAGCCAGGTGCTGCATGGGCTTCACATGCATACTATGCTATATGTTATGGTTTACATGGAACTAGTATACTATGCAGACTATACTCAATTGGAAGGCTGTTTGTAGTCGTTAGTTTCCTTGGTATTTTTTGCTATATGGGTAGACTTCTTATCCACCATTTATTGTCCTTTTGAAATATTCATATTTCGTTCTATGAAGTGAAAGTTTAGTTTTCCTGTTAAAAAATGCTATATTAATGTTTTGAAATTGATCCTTCAGGCGCTACATTGAAGAAACATTGAAGCTGCTGCCTGGACCACACTCGGATACGAAGAGAGTAAGTAATATGTTTTCTTCCTTCCATTCTCGTCCTTCTTGATTCCCAGCCTTGCTTATTCATTGTCATGTCACATATATCATAATTTATTGATGCAGTGTATACATTTCGCAGAGTGGATTTGCAAGCAGTCCATCACTTGACACTCTTCCAGGGTCTCTGCACAGTGTGGACAAGTATGCTTCATTATTGTGATGTTTTGTATTCCTCATCAGTTTTGCATCCTTTTTTTAAAAAAAAAAATCCTTTTCCCCTGTACCTGCATCTAAACTCATCATCTTTTTGTGAAAATTTGTTGGAGTTTCAAATTAGGAAGGCCTAATCTGTTTGTGTCTTGGCAATTGAAAGATGTTTTAGAGAAGCCAAAACAGAATGTTACTTGAAATTTATTTTAGAAAGGCATAATAATGATGGCACTAAGCATAATAACAATGTCATAACAATAACTGTGATAGTAAAACCAATAAGGATGATAATAAAAGTAATAACATTGGTAACAACTCTATCAGTAAATTTTTCTTTTTAGGGGTTGAACAGAAAGTTATTCATTCGATATCTGTCTTGCATATTTTTGAATTTATTTTTGGGTTGAAGGTGAACACGGGCAAGAGTTCTATCATTGGTGTCTCTGTGCCCCAACAGAAAATGGAGAGGTTGGTGGAAGATAATGGATGGGTGGCGGTAAATGGCCTATGACACATATATATATATATATATACATATTTTGTTTTGGGGAGGGGGGGGGAGTGGGGGATCCTAGAATTGAAAGTTTTTGGAAGCCAACGATTGGGAAAATGGTAAGAGGTTGAATGGATGGATGGAAAAAGGCTTGGGTATCAAAAGGAGTACCACTGAGCTTAGTACATTTCATTTTATCTCGTATACCTGTTTGTTATACGACTCTCTAAAATTCCATCTAATGTGACAAGGATAACTGAGAGATTGATGAGAGTTCTTGTGGGAGGGGAATGAGGAGGGGCAGAAGGATCATTTGTTTGGTGGGATTTGTTTCTTGGTCTAGGGTTAAAGGGGATCTTGCTTTGGGAACATTATTGCTAGAAACACAGCTTTGCCGGGTAAATGGTTGTAGAGATTTTCACTGAACATGATTTATTTTGGCATATTGTTGTTAAGAATAAGTGTGGGACTCATGAGAATGGATGAGATTCTCATGACGGTAATTAGGAGAACTTATTGGGTCCATGAAAAATCTTTTTCATAGATTTGCCATGTTTGTCTTAGTTCTTGAAGTTGAGAGTGAATAATGGGGATAAGATTGGGTTCTAGGAGATAAATGGAGACTGATTGTCATTTTTCATTACTATTTCCTCATTTGTACGAGTTGTCTAGTTCTCGCAATGCTTTAGTTGCTTCTATGACATGTTCTTCTGATTTTGTATCAGTTGGAATTTCATTTTTTTAGGAACTTAAATGATTGGGATGTTATTGAGCTTTTTTCACCTTTTCACTTCTATGATCGGGATTTTCTTCACTTTTATGATCGGAATTTTTTTCACTTTAATCCTTCTTGGACGGGGTCATTCCAATTCAGTCAAGAAAGGGTGTGGTCTATTGCTGTTTCTGGAATTCGCTTTTTTAAATATTTTTGAATGATCTTATTGATGACTGTTCATGCACATTGTTTGCCCCTGCAAAGATGATTTCGAAAGCAAAAGTGCCTCTCAAAGTAGAAGTTTTCTCTTGGTGTGTTGCTCGTAATAAAATCCATATTTATGATTTGTTTCAAAAAAGACCTCATTGTCATTATTGGGCCAGTGGGTATATCATGTGTAGAAAAAGTAAGGAAACTTTTAACTATTTATTTTTACATTGTCCGATGGTTTTTTTGATTTGTCAAAGACTATTATTTTCGGTTGATTGGAGTTGGGTCTCTCCATTATAATGTGCATTGATACTCCTCATCAAGTTTTTGGGATTTGGAAAAGCGTAAGAAAGTTCAATCGCTTTAGAGATGTATTGTATTGCCAATCTTTTGGGGGTTATGGTTGGAAATAAATGCAAGCATCTTTGAAGACAAATATGACCAAGAAGCTAAATTGTGGGCAAGGATCGAAGTATTGTTTCGGTCAGCTCAAAAATGGAAATGTTTCGGAAACGCAGAAAAAATATGAAAACGCATAGAACACAAATACAATCCATTAATTTATAAAGATAAGCTAAATAATTGATTAATTCAACATATTTATTGGGTTAACATCCATTTATACAAGAATAAATTTAAATTTGAGGGAAAAAAAGGCTTGACATGAGGCGAAAATCACTTAAATTAGTTTCAAACACTTAATTTTTATGAAATAAACACATTTTTACATAATATTAAGGTCTTATAATACACATGAAATGCTAATGAGTACATACTTACATGGCTGCATCCATCCCCCTGTGGAGTGTCGAGCAGGCTCATACATTGGTGTAGGCTTTGGGTAGCTATTTAGAGAAACTCCATATGTGACATAAATATGATGACAATAGTTACTCCAACTGATATTATTACGGTAATATTATTCAATTAATAATACTATTTTATTATAATACTAATAATGAAGGGTAAAAAATTAAATTAATGGTACTTATGTATACTTAAAAATTAAATGTAATTATAGTGGGTATTAAATGTAATTACAGTGGGTATTAAATATAATTACATTAGAGTATTAAATGTAATTGTTAATATTTATAACCAAAAAAAAAAAAAAAAAGCAAAAGACTTGCACAACAACGGGGTATTAAATATAATTACAATGGGTATTAAATATAATTACAGTAGGATATTAAGTGTAATTATTTATTCTTATAACAAAAACATTATAAAAGGCAAAAGAGCAGTGAGAATTAAATGTAATTATAGTGGGGTATTAAATATAATTATAGTGGGTATTAACTGTAATTACAGTGAGTATTAAATGTAATTATAGTGGGGTATTAAATATAATTATTCATAGTGAACTGAATATATCACTGTTTCAATCGAAACGGTTCGAAACAGTACCGTTTCGACCGAAACGGTTCGAAACAGTACCGTTTCGACCGAAACGGTTCGAAACAGTACCGTTTCGACCGAAACGGTCCGAAACAGTATCGTTTCGACCGAAACACTAGAATTTTGTGATTCAACTATTGTTTCGTTTCAGAGTGTTGAAATTCCAAAACATTTCGGACGTTTCGGACGTGTCGACACGACATTTTGATTCTTGATTGTGGGAAAGAGTGTGTTTTTGGATTCTTTTTGGGCTTCAGATACACTGGAGTTTGTGGGTCTTCTGGTATCTTTTATTTGGGCGAATGGGCTCTCGGTCTGTGGCGATTGATGGGCTTTTTATTTTTGCTTTTCCCAGTCTGTGGCTTTCGTGCTTCTTGTACTGATTTCTAATTTTCTTTTTGATGGAATTCTGTTGCTGATTTAAAAAAGATTAAATAAAATAATAGTATCAGTAGTATAGTAGCAGCAGCAACACCACCACCAACAGTAATTAGTATAATAATGGTAATGGAAGAATAAGAAGTCAAAGTATTTTGGGCTGCCAAAAAACAAAATTTCTTCTTCCATGAAGAAAGTAACATGCCAAGCAGATACTAGGCAAAGATGGAATGGTAATGGTGGTGGTGGTGGTCTGGTCTGGTCTATTCCCTTTGAGTTGCAGCAAAGAACTGCTAATTTGGTTCTGAATGCTTATTTTTTTCATTTTTCAAGAAGGCCTTCTTTTGTTTTCTGTTACATTTGTGCTGTTATTTTCATTTATTTTTAAATAAATTTCTTGCATAAACAGGGTTTATGGTTTTTCCCTTACATGCTGATAGTGCATCCACGTGTGTTCTAAAGTGAAACTCTAGTTTTCTCTTTTCATCCTAAATATATAAAGGCTCGTCTTCCCATGCTTTTCCTCTGATCTTAGACCTTCTAACATATTTCAGAATTGGTGACGGAAGGCGCTCTTTAGTCCTGGTTGTTTTCATTGGAGGGGTAACATTTGCAGAGATATCTGCACTTCGTTTTCTCAGTGCCCAGGTATGTTTATAAATTTTATGCCTTGGATAATATTAAGTATTGTTTTATGTTTCTCTTTTACATTGTTTACTCAGCAACGTGTCATACCATGTGTGATATAAAACACGGGAGATTTGCTTGGGAATTTTGTGCAAGTGGACAAGACTGGTTTTGCATTCTTTCTCAAGTGAAACAGATTTTTGGGCTTCTAGATGCCTGATTCTAAGAAACACTGAACGAATTTGTCTGTTTCTCTTGAAGTAAAAGTCGAACCGTGCCAAACTTACTGTCAGCTGGCTGATTTTGACTAATAAACAAGTTCATCAATGATGTTAAATGAACTATTTGGGTATTTTTCTTTGGTGACAATTTCTCTGCAAACTTCTGCTTGCAGTCATCCCTTTTTTCAAAGTCGAAAAGATGAATGGGTCTGCATACTTGATTAATTCATATTCGTGGTTCCTTTGTTTATTTTATTTCTTAATATGCTGGAATTTTAGGCTCATGATATTTAAGTTATGTTTCGGTTAATGGGATTGGCTCTCATTACGAGTAGAGATCATTAGCATTAACATTTTGTGGTTCACGTTGGAGTTATTTTGGTGTGCAAGTTTTGTAGACTTCAAACTTTTTTCTTTGCTAATTTTTGAGTTCCAATCATTTAACTCAAAAATAAAGGTTTTATTACTAGAGCTAAAAGTGCCGATATTCATTGATATGAATCATCACAAGAAAAATGGAGTTGGAGAGGATTTTGTGATCATTAAAAATTTAGGGCAAAAAATGTAATTGATTTGTGTTTCCAAATGCTTCCAGTATTTTTTAAACTCGTGTCTTTGGAACCAAACGGTATTGTTCAAATGTGAAGCGCAAGGGAATGATTATGTTTTTAGTGTACACCAAAATGCCAACTTACCAAATCCTTCTGGTAAGCTTCTCACGGATTCTCTGAATTAACAGAAAAGGTGGTGTTGTTATTGATGTTGCTGATACCTGGCCAACTACAGGAACCTGTACCCATGGGCAGAGCCAGAAAACTGCTATAGAGGAGTGCAAATTTTAATAATAGGAAAAATACGAAACTGTAAAAATAATGAATGCAAAATTTAAAATGTTGATTAGTAATATTTCTATTCAATTCATCCACAATTGTTCTGGATTAGTTTTCATATTTTGAAAACATTGCATGATAACCTCATTGTTAACCCCATAAAACAAGTTTTTTCTTCATAGAGTGCCTCTAATCAATCGTTGTTATTGGATTGACAGTGAATCAAAACCTTGGGTGAGACCCATTGTTAGTTCAAGGGCAACAACAGATTAGGTCAGCTAATTAGATAAGCAAATTACTTCTAAATAGTATTATCGTTCTTAATGTATCCCAATTAACAACTGAGAGAGAGGGGGAGCGAGATATTAGGAGCAGGAAAACAAATAGCTGTCGAAATTTTTCTTGAGAATATATTGAGAGGATTCAAATAACTAAATATTAGCTAAGTTTACTTAATTGGATGTTCCGAGATTGAACTCAAATATGAAGAATGATTATGTGGATCAGTGTGTATGAAAACTTTTTTGAAAGGAACAAGATTGACAAATACATTAAAACATGTACAGGAATTTTTACAAAAAAAAAATTTGAGTGGTGGCAGAGTTGCTTGTAGCTCTGCCCCTGCCTTTACCCATGGTTGGGGGGTCTCAGATGATCAAGCAGCTACATTGAAGATGCCTTATTTTGTTAGTCTGGATAACTTTTTCCCCGCTTTTTTCAGTGCTCCTCAATACCTAATCTTGTTAGTATGTCTTTATCAATCTACTATGTCTTTGCAGGAAGGGATGGCATATGACTTGATTGTAGGGACAACAAAAATTGTCAACGGCGATACCTTCACCGAATCATTCATAGAGAAATTGGGTTGACTTAAAGAGAATTGTGCGTTCCATATTTCCTGTAGAAGATTAAGAGCTTTTGATGCTTGTACGACATTAAAGGAACCTTGCTGCTGCAATTACTACACACGAGTGGTTTAGAACTGCTGTTTCGGGTTGAAAACAATGTGTATTTACTGTTTTATTGCCAAGGAGTAAGTTGAAAGTTTTGTGGTTCCACTGTATTCATTTTTTTTTCCTAGTAAGTTTTTGTTTTGTTGTTTGAGGTTTATTTTCTGATGACAGGAATTGTATTTATGTTGAATCTTTCTATTCTGTGTCTCTAGTGCTTACAAAATTAGCTTATCGTTCTATTCTCAGTCTCAAGTGATTGGAAAGTTAGCTTCTCAGCTATCGTTGTATGACTGACCCCAGGCCGATTGTTCTGCTTAAATATTCAATACACAAAATCCCCAACAGCTGGATTAACGTCTACAGGTAAAGTGAATTATAGAGAGAGAGTCCTTTGTTTTGAAAGTGACAAGATAATTCTTGTAACCCTCTTTCTTTATTATGCTGTGTCATTTGAACACAACATTAAACACCTCTAGGGGGCCATCTTCATGGGGTATCTTGGTAGTTGCCTGATTCGTGTGAAATGGATGGTTGCATGTGCTCTGAAGGGACCCGGCTACGTTATAGTTAGCACTCAGCAAAAAGGGAGGTTGAGAAAAGAAAGGGTGTGTTTGGATTGTATTTCCAAAAATAGGATTCAAAAATGTTTTTGGAAAGAATTTTAAGAAAGTGTGTTTGATGTTTTTATATTGTAAAATTTATTTGGTTATATGTTTCTGAAAACAGTTTTAAAGAACATAAAATAATAAAATCTAGTTAGATAATGATCTACAAAATAACGAAAATATAATAGAGATATAAATCCATTCCACACCAATCTTTTTTGCCTACTAATTTTAGGTGGGGTAATTATAATAGAATGAATAGACACAAGTGCATTCTTTCCTAGTTTAGGTTGAGAATCACCAACAATATCACTTCCTTTGCCAAAATTAAAACTTGAACCCACTTCACACATATGTATACACATCTGTGCACATATATGTATATTGAGTTGCTTGTCCCTTCGGTGAGAGAGCTTTGGAGATCTTCGGCGAGGTAGCTCTGTTGGATTCGAAGAGGAAAACTTCACAGTGAAGCTCAAGTAGAGAGGGAGAGTTGCAACTTGCGGGAGAATAGAGATGAGTTGGAGAGAGGGGGGATGAGTTGCGAGAAATAAGGAGCCTTTTGAATTGAATTCTCAAAAAATGCTGAAAATGTTTTCGATGAAGTTCAATATCTAGACCTCATTAAAGAGTTATGTTTTTCGTATTTTCAAAATTTTTGAAAATCTTGTTTGAAAAGTGGAAAGAGAGGTATATCATGTTCTCAAAATTTAGCCTGATTTTCAAAAAGTTTTTCAAAAAATAGCAAATCAAAATTTTTTTTGGTGTTTTGTATTTAAAAACAAAAACTTGTTTTCAAGATACAAATCAAACAGGCCCAAAATTTTCGAAGATAGAAAATGAACAACTTAGTTCCAAGTTGTAGTGTCAACTTCTGATCGTGTCCATGTTTGTACCCAAATTTGTGGTATTAGAAAAAACTATTTAACCCATTACTAGCTCTAAAAAAAAAATACCAAATGTTCATTTCTTTTTCTTATATTATGAAATGAATAGATCTTTCACATATACCATTAATCTGGCTCATTTATAATTTGTGTTGACAAATTGCATCATTTTTTAGTACCAGCCGTGTTATTGTTAAGTTCGCGTTGTTTTAAATTTGTGTCGAACACATATCAGGTCATCGAATTTTACTCTCTGCGATTGTATTTGGTGCAACATCAACATTACAGTCCCAAGACATAAAGGCAACCTAAAATCAGTTGCCCACTTCAAAAGTCAAGCAAAATTCTAATGTTTAAATTGGGGAATAAATATAACTTCTTCCCATTACCAACAATCCATGACCCCTAAAAATCCCATTTCACCCAAAAAAAAAGAAAAATGTTACAAAAAAAGACACCACTCCCATCCATATTTTTGTACACAAATACCTTGATTTAATACACCAACATATCTGTCTATATAATACCTATGTTTCAAGAGGATAACAAAACTCCTGCACAATATTCTGAGGTCTACTATGACGACTTACAAGAGCTTCAGGAAGAAATCTAAGTTTCACCTGAATATCATGAAACACAGACTGCTTCAACTTGTTGGAGAAGTTCTAAAACGCTTGCTGCTTTTCTCTTGGCCCGATCAGTGCCATTCTCCGACAGTTCCTTCAATACCTCTTCTGCCCCAAGCTCCTTAGCTATTCTTAAACATTGTACATCACCTGTACACAGTGACCAAAATACAGCGGCAGCATTCTCCCGGTTGCGTGGTGAACCGGTTCTTATAACCTCTACCAGTACTGGCATTGGCTCAGCCTGACCAATCGCTGCTTTACCTTCTTGATGGCTTGCAAGTATAGCCAGTATTGCTAATGCCTCATCCATCATTCCACCACCAGCATCCTTCAGCAATCCCATCAGTGGTGCCACGATCCCCGCCTTTAATGCTCTCACCTTGTTTCCCTGATATATTGAGAGATTAAAAATTGCAGTAGCTGCATCCTTCTTTCCCCTTGGAGTGCCCTGGCAGAGCAAATTGATAAGAGCTGGGATAGCCCCTGCTGCTCCGATTGCCACCTTGTTTTCATCCAACACTGATAAACTAAAAAGGGTTGCAGCAGCATTCTCTCTTGCTTCCATGCTGCCATTTTTCAACACATCTACGATATCAGGTATAGCTCCTGCATTTACAATACTTCCCTTGTTTGCCTCGTGTATGGAAAGGTTGAGAAGCGCCGTAACAGCGTGCTCCTGGGTCCGAGAATCAGTAGATGATAGTAGTTCTACAAGCAGAGGAATGGCTCCTGCCTCTGCAATACAGACTCTATTATCCGCATTTCTCTTTGCCAGTAAACGGAGCTCACCGGCAGCTGCTCTTTGCTGTTCTGAATTACCATTTGCAAGTTTTTGTAACAAGGCATCAATAGCAGCTCGATCACAGTCTGAACCACCAGCTCCTGATCTGCTATTACTACAATTGTTTTGTTTCTTTGGCAGCTCAACACCATTACTCTCACACCACAAAGCAATAAGACTCTTCAAGACGTAGTTAGGTGTTAAGGCTGTATGCAAAAGAGTCTGCTGAGTCTTGGGACAAGTCTTGTGCCCTGCGTCCAGCCATTTCTGAATGCAGGACCTTTCATATGTCTGCAAAAGTAAAATAGCAGCTAAATATTGGCTAACAGTGCATATGCAAAGCTGTAAACTGCTAAGGTAAATGCCAGTTCAAACCTGTCCAGTAGAAACAATAACAGGATCTTTCATCAATTCAAGGGATATTGGACACCGAAAATCATCAGGGATAACCGGAGACCTGTGCTTAATCAAGGCCTTTTCATCCTCGGAGGCATCAAAGTTGGGGTTTCCCATCACTACACAGTCCTTTAGCTTCCTAAGGATTAATGACATGGTCTCAAAGCAGTGATCTTGAACTCCATCACTAGATATAACCATATCGTGGATAGCAATTGACTCCCTCTTTAAATCGTTTATAGTCCTGAGATGCAACTTTTCCGAAAGCCTTTTCAGAATGGAATGGTCAGGGTCTTTTTCCTTTTGTGCCATAGCTAAATCCATTTCCAGTTGCAAATCAGGTGAGTGCATCCTGCCCATTGCTCTTTTAAATTGTACATGCACAAGTTCAATCTGAAGCAAGTATAAGCAGGTCATAACTTTGGTCAATAAAAAAGAAAGTACAGACTTCCATAAAATTTTTAGTCTGAAGTATGTTTCTGAAAAAAAAAAAAAGCTCCTAAAGTACCTGTTCTCGCACTTCCTCTGAGATATTGAGTTTATCACAAGGAATCTGGGTCAGAGCTTCTTCAATATGTTCTGTCAGTTGACGGAACTTTACTGCAATTTTGTCCATTTGCAGAGCCTGTGACATGGAAAACGAAGCTACCATAAAGACAGAAACCAAACCATACAAGTTGGTTGTTTTCAAAACAAAAATATTGATACATGATGAGTGTAAAAAGTCACGTTCTTACCAGCTTATGGATAGTTAGAGGTTAGACAGATATATAAATTAAAGCAATGAAATTAGAACTCTTTCAGCGATGCCTAAAACTAAGCATTTATTTTATTGAGCTGAACATCGAAAAAGTTTCATTTAACAGATCCAAGTATTTCTCAAGAATTAAACAAGAAATGACTCATGAGTGCTACTGCTCAGTGATACAGAATTGAGTAGATTATGTGCGATATAAGAAATGCGATGGAACACACACACACATACAGATTCCTTGATCTTTAAACCCCAAAAATTTTAGACATCTACCCCAAAGCCGAAACAGGGGAACAATGTTGACAATTCAAGCCCCTAAGTTCGACAAAGAAGATTTAGTTACAAACAAGGATCAAAATATCGTTTCGAAGGAGATTGAAACGAATCCTTGATAGAATCAAAATTTTAATATTTCGAGGTATGTCATAATATTTGGAGATGTATTATAATATTTTAATGCATTTGCATAATTATTTTGGAATGTTTCAAGATATTTTGATATATTTAAATCAATGTTTTAGAAAAATAATTCTTAAATTTTTTATTTTTGTCATTATGTTTTCGAAACGGGTCGAAACGTTTCCGAAACACATCGAAACGTTTCCGTTTCCTCGGTGACCGAAACAATATACCGAAACAAAATTTTGATAGTTGGTTACAAACTAAAGTGCATTTGAAACAAAATGAGGATAATTTCCTCAAATGCGAATAGTTTCCTCCAAGGCATTTATTTTCATATATTTAAAAATCATTTGTTCAACAGAACTGCAAACTAAACACAGAAGCAGTTCAATCTCAAAAATTACCCAGAGAAGACTGTTATGCATACCTAAGTGTAAGGGGTAGAACCCTCCACTCAGGATT